TGTCCCTCCTGTACAGCCTATAGCCCGTGATATTCACCGCTGACATTCTTAACTCTGAGATAAAAGTATCTATTTGCATGCTATACTTATTCAAAGTGACTCATGAAAAGAAATCTTTTAAAAGATTTTATACACATATGAAATACTAGAAATCTGTATTGACAAAAGCTGTCATAGTAACATTCTTCACTATTACTGGAGTTGTAGTCTTAACTTCCATTAGCTAAGAAAACAAGAACAAGAGAAGATTCTCAAGTAGATGAGGCCAAAAAAAAATGGGAGAGGTGCAGGTGGCAGCAGCGCATGCCATCCAAAACTGGAGCCTGGCCAGCTGGAGCCACGCTCTACCTGCTAGCCAGGCTCCCTGCAGCTGTAGTTCCCCAAGGTTCCCAAGAACCCCAGGTAAAGCTGCTGGGGCCAGCACAGTTGCTAGCCTCAGCCTCCTTACCTGACCCGACCACAGGGTAACCTGCCATGTGCCAGAGTGTGCATGGCATGGGCATTCCCCTGCAACAAGCAGCAGCTGCACAAGGTTTGCCACTGCTACTTGTTCCCAGGGAAACACATGTTCCCACTCATCTGGACACAGCCTATGAGTTTTAAAAAAAATTGGTTTCAACAAGACCTGAATGTTCTAGAGTAGTTTTTAAATTGGTGAGGCTTCACTGACAAAATACAAGAAGAAAGAACAAAATGGTAAGATTTGTTTTATGTGCTCCTTGAGACAGAAGCAGAGTATAAAGACAGCCTAGCAAGAACGTAAGAATGAAGAGGAAATACAGAGAGTCTAAAGAAGAAAAAGTCTGTGGTACAGAGAAAACAGGAACTCTAAAACTATGTCAACAAGCTGCAAAAATTAAAGGACAGTATATGGGGGGAAAAAACCAGCAAGTGGAACAGCCTTTGAAACAGACAGTGAAATAAACTACAAAGACAAGCAGATTAGAGCAACAGCATTAAAAGGGTCCAAATAGGTGATGGTGGTGGGGGAGGATAGCCTTTGAGACTTTAATACCTTTTAGATTTCCTCTTGAGATCACATTATTTGTTGTACATTATTTGGGACGAAACTTTGCTACCTTGAATTATAACAAGTAGCCTTCACTCCATTGTTAAAGTCAGCAGGGTTATGGCTGTACTAAGGTGTTATCAAACTTGAGCAAGAATGGGGGAGTCCTAACCAATTTCTGCTGACAACATTATCTCTGAAGTAAAGTTGTCAATACATCTGCTTTTATAATACAATAAAAAATAATATTTCCATTGCAGAATGTTGAGACTATGAAATTAAATTCCTGCATGTTTCAGGTAAGCAACAACAATAAAAATCCAAATTTTGAACCCTGGAGAGTATCCTCTGTCTTTGTATTGAGTGAGAATATATGTTTTTACCAGACCAAAAACAGTTTTCTGATATTTTTGGAAATAATGAAAAATGGGCATGCTTGATCTCTAATGGGATATCTTTCTTACACTAAGAACCAACTAGACAGATTTAAAGTGTCTGTTACTTCATATGTTCCACAACGTATTAATTTTACTGTTTGAGTTCACTGATTTTCTATCCCAGCATCAGCTCTAAAGGAAGACATAACTACTAAATTACATCAGTTGACAACAGATCCTAAGAGCTAGCCATCACCTGAGAAAAGCTGAAGCACATAGTGTTCTGGCCACTCCTCTTATACAGCCCTCCCCTACTCTTCTCCATGTAGTTAAAAGTGATTTTTATTCTCTTCATGCCATGTACACAGACCAAGATTGGGCTCTCAATCTTGATCAAAATAAACATTTTTTGTTGCAATTATTTTCTTTAAAATCATGAGTATACTATCACACTGAATTAATACCTGCCTTGTAATCTGCGTAATCCATTAAATAAAATTAGCTTTTTGATTACAAACATAAGAGTGGAAAATGGGACTTACCGGGCCAAAAAAATTACTGTCAAAGCTGTGTCCGTGGTGATCACCTTCCACCCACATATGGCCATGTGGAACTTTCACATACTGTTTTTTGTACCCTATGGTTCTAAAGACAAATGCAATAATCGTTACTGATTATAGACAATACTGTATTTGAAATGATAATATACATCAATAGAAGAGTTAAAATTAATGTAAGAAAATTGTTAAGAAAATCCAGGTCTTATCCTGACACTTCCTCATGCAAATAGCTAAACACAACTATAACTTTATCCATGTTTAGTTCCTTTGACTTCAATAGAAGAAGCATGTGGTATTTGAATAATGAGGTCTTTGTTTATTAAATATCTCTCTGGTAAATAGGATAGCTCAGCAAGGCACAAAAGACGTGCAATTAAATTGAATTAAGAATTAAATAGACTTTTTATATTATTTAGTAGCTACCCTTTGAACTATTGTTTTTTATCTCTAATTTAAGGAATTATTTAGTGTAAGTGGCAAATAGTATATTAAAATAGCTGTGCAACTCTGGATTTACTTTAAATTGCTTGTAAGCAAATTGGAAGTACTATTATTTGTTTTACATGCTGTACAACCAAAAGAATCCCACATCAAACAGTCCTACAGATAACTGAAAGAAGCTGGATAGAAATACTTTTCAGTGGAAGCTCCTTTTGCAGTCCCTTCAAAAACTGAAAAAATAGGAATTTACTTTTATAAAAATGAACTCAAACACTGATCAGCATAATCTCAGATTACATAGTTATCAAAATGCAGTTGATGAATCATACAATTTAGTAAGAGAAAATGTCCTGAGTTGGTTAATATACACATATTTTACTAAATACATCCAATAACTCTGAAAGAACCAAATTATTATTACAGATTGCTGCAGCACCTTGCCATGGTTTATTCTTCTTCATAACTGTGACACGCTGCTAAACTTCCCTAAAGCTACGAAGTAGTAGTTATGAAAACACATCTAAGGCAATAACAGAGATGTTTTCATGCTATTAAGAATTCTCCTAGGAAAATAAAAGTGAAATGCCTTGAGCAATTGCCCTGGTCTTTTTCAATAATACCTTTAATATTATACTATATGACAGTAGTGTAGAGATGTGACCAAGCACTCAGGACCCAGGTGCAGCAATGGCTTCCAGTTGTTACACAACTGTGAATGCGATTGTGTGGCTGCCACCACCGGCAGGGTTTTTTTAGTTAGTTCAGTACCTGGGGCAGTTGTTCTGTTTGCCCTACCATAGTTACACTACTGCAATATGAGAATGTGCTCTAATAAAGTACAAATAAGAATGGGGTGAATTGCATAATCTTAACTTCACTTCCTTGTTGTTATGAAATGTGATACTACCCTAAATTACAGGATCACATACTTTTATTTTCATTCTACTTCAGCTTCTGTCAGCGAAAAGGTTGGTAAATGAAGCAGAAACACTACAGTCCCTGCCTTCACTGTAGCTCAAATTGTAGGCCACTTTAAAGCCCATGTGAGAGTTCTTTCCAGCAAATCTTGATTATGCATAAATTTGATGTCCAGAGCAGCATAATACAGTCCCAGAGACTGTATGGGGGGATGGGGGGGTATGTGGACAGGAGGTGGGACACAATAATTTGCCACAGCTGGTTTGCCAGCAAGTCCTGTCTTCTGGGACTCAATGGCTTAATAGGCTCCTCTTTTCCATTCCTATATTCCTTTGAAAAAAAACCAACAGCATGAACCTCATGTATAAATTTCAAGTTAATGTATTCAGAGGTATAACTATAAATTTTGGTGGCTTGGGCTCCTTTGTCACATCTGGAGAAACCCTGTACCCTGTACAAGGGTTGTAGAAGCCCAGCTGGAGAAGCCCCACAGCACCCAACTGTAGGAGTTGAGTACATAGCACAGGTAGAGCAAGCCCGCATTCCCCAATTCTGGAAGCTGAGCTGGAGCAACCTCATAATGCCCAGCCATAGGAAAGTTTTACCTGTCCTGGGGACTGAAAAACCCCTGCTGCTTCTAGTATGCCTCTGCACCCAGTTCCTATGGCCAGCTGGTGTGGAGCTTTTCCAGCTTGGCTCCTATGGCCAGAGAGGGCAGGGCTGTAGCAAAGAGTCTGGGGAAAGAGGCATCATTCCAGTACCCATCTAAGTTGGTACTCAGAGCTGGTGCCCCTCTCACTTACACTAAATATACTACTGAATTGATTTAATCTTTTCTCAAAGTCAGACAGAGCAGCATCCTTCAGCTACAGGTCACCTTTGGAGCAATGTTCCTTTCCTTTTATATACTTTCCCCAACAGTTTTCTTCATGAGATAGTAAAGGGTCTGACCTTATGTAATCAGAAGAACCTCAAATACTGAAAAAAAGAATGACCGATGTCATTCAGTGATATATTTGCATTAGCTATCAGGAACCATAAATCCTTCTGCAAAGACCCTTCTTTATTATGCTTTTACAATCTAATATGTATGAATGAATCTTAAATCTGTGCCACGTCCCACTAAAAGCAGTGGAGTTTGCAAAGGTCTAAAGCAACGGTTCCCAATCTGTGGTACGCATGCCACCAGTGGTGCACATTAACATATTCATTATAATGACTTTATATGACAAAAATTTGCTGAAGGCACTTAAGGTTGTATCATTTTAAACTGGTGGTGCGCAATCCGTCAGAGTTTAGGAACCACTAGTCTAAAGCAAAAGGAAGGGAACTATAGATTGTAGTAATTATAAGAGGGGGCCCCCTTTTTCCTTCCTTTTTTTCCTACCCCTAAAATAAACCTTATAAGCCAGAAAATGTTGCTAGTGTTTGTAAAAAAGATTGAAGATATTGTAGTCATGAAAGAGCAATAAGCTGCAGATCTCTCTTACTGAGGTGATACTGTAGCAGAAAGCCCCCTTTCTACATTTCCCTTTTTGGCATTGATATAACAAAAGCCCCTTTTTGCCTGCACCCCCTTCCCCCACATTTTGTGCATTTCTTTTTCCTTCTAAGTATTGGCAGAGACTTAGTACACTCATTGAATGGGTATGGCACGGCTCAGAGTAAGCCAGAAAGCTGAAGTGGCTTTCTGTAGGAGAAACCTAGAAACTACATCTACATATCAATTAAGCTCAGTGTCACTAAAGAAAACATAAGAATTAAATATCCACTTCAAAAACTGTAAGTATATCCTGGTGCTAACCTAACTCACATACTGTTCCCAGTAACCTTTGATTCTCACTATCTCACATTTCATTTTTATATATTTCTCACGGTGCATTTTTATATTTAATGCGTCTCATCTTTACCATGCCATTTTGTACTTTATATTTTATACTTTTAAACCCTTAAGGAATGTACTCCCTGTAGAATGAAGTTACACCCTGGACCCTTGTTAAAAAACGTATTGAAATTGTCATTGTAAAGTGATAAAATCTGCTATATTGGATGGTCCCTTGAGTGAATGTGAGTGTATGGTAATCAGTAGGTAATTAAATGACAAAAGCCTAGCCAAAGAAACTTACCACTACAAACCTCTACTCTACAAGCCATTTTAGGCTAATCAAGCTAAGGAACTGATTCCTGGAAATGAGCACCCACCCTATTGACTATTCCTGTAACCCATACTACAGACCTCCCAACCAGGGACAAGAGGTTGACCAGGAATTCTTAGGTCAGCTCACAGAGGTAGTGAAGTCTAAGGATGTGGTAGTCATGGGGGACCTGAACTTCCCGGACACCTGCTGGGAAGAGCAGTCAGCCAGGTCTGACCGCTCACATAGGTTCTTAGACAGAGTGCAGGACCTCCATCTAACCCAGGAGGTGCACAACCCCACCAGGGGAGACGCCTTGTAGGACCTAGTGCTGGCCACGGGTGATGACCTGGTGAGGGGGCTGCGGGTGCTCGAACACCTGGGCAACAGTGATCATTGCCTGCTGGAATTCACCATCCAGCGCAAGGTGGCAAAGGCCTGCAGTAAGGCAGCAGCCCTAGATTTCAGGAGGGCAAACTTCAACGAGCTAAGGAGGATAGTTGGGGAAGCGCTGAGGTCCCAGAGGGGAGGGGAGCCGGATGTCCAAGGAGAGTGGTCGCTCCTTAAGGAGACAATCCTCCAAGCCCAAAGGAAGGTAATCCCAATGAGGATCAAAGGGAGCAGGAGGGCACACAAGCCTCCGTGGCTCACCAAAAGCATCCAGGAATGTCTCCTTGCTAAAAGGGAGGCGTACACCGAATGGAAAGACGGGGTCATCACCAGGGATGACTATACTGCAGTCGCTCAGGGATGTAGGGGGGCAGTCAGGAAGGCCAAGGCAGAGATGGAATTAGGACTAGCTTCCCAGATTAAGGACAATAAGAAGTCCTTCTTTAAATACATAGGGGGTAAAAAGAAGGTCCCGGGTAA